ATATATATATGAATGAAGCGGTTGAACGTTTTGCAAATATAATTAGCAGACTGCTCAATGATATTGATAACAATTATGATGATGACGATAATGATGTTATATGAAGACGCTGATGATAATAAAAACCAATCACTTTGTTGTACAGTATTCTATTTAGCTTTTGTTCCACTTAGTTGAATGGCCATTGTTTAGGCCTATAAAATAACAATAATAATAATAATAATAATAATAAGATAATTATAATAATAAAAAGGACAATAATAATATTTACAATATATTAATATTTTTCGATATAATATAATAGTAGCAGTAATAATAATAATACTAAATATCAAATAAGAGGAATGCATAGGACAACATTAACCGCTTCCGATCCTATGAACTTACTTAGCAAGTTAAGGCAAAAAGACCATGATAAAAAAGTAATGAAACTTATGCTTATTTAATGTTGCAAGGACACAATACAGTTGTTATTATTACGAAGGTATAAATTATTCAAGAAATTGAACAATGTAATTTCACGTCATTACATAGGCCCTATAATATATATTTAAGTATCTATCTTTGTTTTAAAATTCAAAACAACACATAAAAGGCCTAAATAATTAAAGCGGAAGTTACTAATTAGATCCAATAAGGCCTACAGGTCTACTGTTGAAACGAAGAATTCTGAAAAGTTTACACTAAACGTAAATGGAATGTTACTTACGAACAAACATTTGGTCCACTGGGATCCAGTGACGAGCTCTGAGTGAGACCAGTATTACAATATCCACAGCAACTCAATATGAACAAAAGAGCTCGCAATGTATCCATTGTGATTACAGTAATTACGTTGAGGTAATATTTATCCGAAAAATTAAATGAAATAAAACTTTATCATACATTTCTGGTGACTAGAAATCACATCACCTATTTCGACGCTGTATTCATTTACCACTTTTGATAATGTCCAATGCAGTTCCTAACTAATGATAAACTTACGCCTGCTACTGTATAAAATTAAAAAAATATTTTAATTTCCGTTCTTAATTCTGAACGATAGGGGCGCTATATTAGAAGATAAATTTAGAGACAAGTGTTTGTATGCATTGGAACTTTTCAATCGCAACAGGGCCAGGAATATGTACCGCAAACACACGTGTGTTGTCCCACAGTACAAACGCACGTGATTATGTACGTTTTCGTTTTGTGGGGACCTTAGCAACCATATCTAAGGGGCGGGGCTTAGCTGAAACGTCCATTGTACAGTCGTATCTACTTAAAGTCCACCCTGAGTTGACGAACCTATTCCATTGAAGCATTTTGATGTGCAAAGTCAACTAACTAGTGAAAGCCTCCAGTAACCATGAGTCCCCACCCACCCCGATATCTCATGCGCGTAACACAAATATAAAAAAGGCAGCATGTTAACAATGTCGTATCAGGTACTTTGAACACTGATTGTGGGAGGTGGGGGGGGGGGGGTGTCTCGAAGTTTGTTGGGGCCGATCTGGCAAAATGTAATAATTAAATATTGAGCAAAGTTCTTTTTGCACAGAGACTTTCAAGTGGGGAGGGAGAGTGGTGAAAGCCTCTTTTTCTATGCACCACAAGCCCCCAATCCGTAGATATGCCATTTTATTATCTTCGTAGTTATATCTGTTTATCACATTCCATCGCATTGCAAAGAAATATTGTTGTGGTTTATTTTCGATTTATTATGCTTCTGACGATTTCATCATCACAAGTAATGGCATTTAAACGAGAGCTTTAATCTTCACTTCTAGAAAGAGATCTGCTTACACAAAAATGATCCAATTAACTTTGTATTAGAATTGTTTTAGAGATGCATTTTTTTTAAAGAATCCAGATCATGTTGAATGAAATTAAAGGAAACGTAAACGCGTTGTACAACATCCTTTCAATAAGAGACGGCAATTTGACAACACAAATGTTAAAATAAAAATAATAATATTAGTATGGGTAAACTTTCTTTAAAGTCAAATCAAGAAAAAATCAGGATTGTTCCTGTTACCTAGACTTGCCACAAGTCTCTTTAAAAAAAAATTATTTTTCTCATTCTGGACAGCGCCACCAACGAGAAAGTTAATTTAGAGACGGAATAAGCGAATTCGGAAAAAAAAAAAAAAAACGAGTATGGGACGCCAATTAAATTAGGTATGGCGCGCACTAAGTGCAATAAAGAGTGAGTGACATAAAATTAGGGTCTGGAACATAGGCTACTGTTTACCATTAGAGATCTCTTTCTCAAATGTCGCTAAAGGCCAACATGATCAATCGGCTGGGCCCACTTGAATCCGCCACTGATTTCTTAAAGTGGTCAATGATAACAGATGAGATTTATTGGACAGTAGAGGTGCCTAAAACTTTCGCATGACTGAGGTGTGTCACCCTTCAGGAACTTTGAAAACCTCTTTGGGAATATCTGGCGCCGTGGCCACTCCTGTAGGCTGATGTGCAGCAAATCTACCTATCCAAAATTCACTGTCACTGATTATGCACTACAGCAAAGCATAGAGCAAAGAAATGAACAAAAGCCATTAAATAGATTGAAATATATCTGTAGTCCCCAGGCCCTATACAAGAAGGGAGTCAAATTACATTAAGACAATGAATATACTGTATATACACATTATACACATTAGAAGTAGTAAACACACTATGTACACGATCGTTATAACAGACATACGGTATCATTTTGAAACACCATAAAGCTATAGTCACATCGAAATTGGGACTGAAACTGAACTGAAAATCACTCCTGTCGATTCAGTAGGCTTTTTCGATTCGAAAATTCAGACTCGGTGTAAATGCAACTATACGATTACATTTTCGGTACCTCCATACTGTAATATACATTTAATACACGAAAGGGTATGTTCACACACACACACACACACACACTCCCCCCTCCCCCCACCAAACACACACACAGCATAAGACTGGCGTAGTTTACGCCGGCGTAAGCTAATTCATGGATTAAAATTCCAAAGTGTTCACACAAATGGCGTTCGCTATATTAACGCTGGCGTTAAACTAGTTTTAATATAGCCCTATGGGGGAATAGTTTTCAGTTTTCTTTTAAATAATGTACAGGTTCTTACTGATAGTAAAATATTTACAGTACATTATTAAAACTTTTAAATCTGTGAATTGTTTGAAGTGAACTTATATGATTACAATATTTTAAATGAACAATTTTACTTCTGATTTTTCAGCTAGTATTGTGGAACAATTGTTGGTGTTGCAGGTTTTAATTGACAGTTTAAATAGGTTAAAATAAATCAAAAAACACAATCAAACAATCATATACATTGTAAATTAAGTAAAATGCAATAGAAAAAGAACCCCTTTACCATTTTACTTATAGAGAAGACAGGAAAGGGATCAAAGTAACTAATCTATTGCAATCGTGATTGATCAATCTCTTGAAATGAGGTCAAATGATTCAAGCATCACTGGCAGCTCCGTGGCATTAACTAATCTGGGGTCTGCAGGTAGCGTTAATAACGCCACGGAAGTGGCGCCGTGCCACTGCCTAGTTCACACACAAAGGCGTATGCTACACCAGTCTTACGCCAGCTTTACGCCGTGTGTGTGAACATACCCTTAGGCTGGGCACTCACTGCCTCACATGACAGCTGTAGGACAAATCCAATTCCGCTCCCTTTGAGCACCAGACGACGCGATGCTGCCTGCTGAGTGTCGGTGGCAGTCTGAACAGATTATCATTAAAAAACGATCCGTTGCACGCATGTCATTGCACTCTCCACAGAATCGCGCTGGCCAATGACCGTTAAGTGGAGAGTGCCTAGCTTTAGAGCTATTACACACCATCACAAATGACATAAAAGTACAGTAGCAGTGTTTACATTAACTAAATTTAATACTTGATTCGCAAAACATATTAAAAAAGTTTACATTTATTGATACAGAATTTCACTTCTAAACAAGTGCCACGCACCAACATGGGCTGTGCCACCAAACAAAACATGGAGAAACTTAACAAAAAAAAAGAAATATAATTTAAATATAAATTTGAAAACAATTATTAAATACTCTGTTGGTTAGGTCACAGGAATGAATGCACATAATTAAAGGAAATCAATACAGTATCTACAAAACAATTAAAGAACAATTTCTTGCATTATTACGTAAGCACACAATTAAAAGTTATTTAATTAAAAAGAACTCTGTAAGCTACATCGTATGTTATATATATATGTACTAGACTAGCATCTGTGTTAAATTAATAAACTAAAAAAAAAAATTTAAAAAAATGTAATAATGTAAATTCTTTTCTAGATAGTATACTGTGCACCCTCCAATTCGAGACCACTTTTTCGAAGAACCAATATATTAACACTACTGAAAGCCAACCCTCTTGGAGACCAAACTTGAGACCACCCCAAATTTTCCAGTCCCAAAGGCGGTTTTGAATTAGAGGGCAAACTGTATTCAAGTTATAATTTTTTCAATTCTTCGCATAGAATTTTTTTTTATCACAAAAACTGTATTGTTTCGATTTGTGTCTTACTGAGGAAGAATGTTAACACAATCAGTAAATCTTATGAAAATTTCATAGTCAAATATGTACCAAACTATACTAAAATCAAAACAAATTAAAAATGTATATCCTCTTGACAAACATATTAAAGGGTAAACATGCTAACATACCTTGCAATGATCTAGATTACATTTTAATAAATTATTACTTCTGGAATAAAATAGACATATCCAAATAATTATTAAAAACTCTTAATACAAATTTTCATGACCTAACTAAACTATGTTCTGATATTTAAGTTGCACCTACAGTGATACACTACACAGTATAACAAATTTAAAACAAGTTTAGTAATAAAGGGAGATACAACAATAATAACAGCAAAAATAATATACAGGTACACTCTAATAAAAGACCCCCTCACTCCCCCAATTAAAGACCACTTTCTTGTGGTACCAAATTAACAAATGTCTTTTTATCTTTGTCATTCTAATTAGAGACCAAAGCTGCTAAAGTCCATGGAAACCATGGTATCATATGTGGTGTTTAATTGGAGGGAAACCTGTATATAATTTTTGGCATTTACATTTTTTTTCTTGTGTACATGTCTGACTCAACAATGTTATTTATTATGCTCATATTATTAGTTATTTAGAAAGACTTAACAGTTGTACACAATAAGTAAAAAAATAGTTTTAATCATTGGATTTTTAGGAATGTCTTCCCCCGGAATGTCTCCCCCAATGGACGACAGCAATAATTCCCAAGGGACTTAAAACCCGTACCTTATGGTTGAAATTAAGTGCAATCGCCCACCTTTTACATTTATGGTGAATACAAGTCTCTAATTAAAGACCACCTCCAATTAAAGACCAATCTGTGGTCCCAAATTAACAAATGTCTTTTATCTTCATTATTCTAATTAGAGACCAAACCAGCTAAAGACCATGAAAACCCTGGTCCCAAAAGTGGTCTTTAATTAGAGGGAGACCTGTATTTGAAATTTGTGAATTTATAGGATGAAATACAGTACCTACTATATCAAAATACTAAAAAACTAAATCAACGTCTCAAATCACACTGTAAAATATTCATAAAAATGACATTTTTCTATATTGAAATCCAGTCGAAGTCCCAACTTTACAATTTTTTTAAATAGGCTCCCAGCGGGAGCGTGTCTATGCCCTATACTGCCTTACTGCATTATGTTTACTAATAAAGAATCCACATGGGATTCAGTTATCAGGAAATGTGTGGTGTTGTATTTTTTTCATGACTGGTACAGTAATACGGTACTTAAGATGACACATGACCCATCATGCACCTCCACCGAATTTACCCTTTCAGCTATCTTTAACTGTCAGATGACAAGGGGGCATAGACACAAAAAAAGTACATGCCTAAGTATGGTCATGACATCACATCATGACTATAATACAGTATAGGCACATCATGACTAAATATGGGCATAGTATAGTTTTTTTGTCAAATAAAATTTAATAATGTGGACAGAAATTTAGTAGAATTCGTTTTCACATTTGACAGCAATATATAGCCTACTGGATTCTTGGCAGACTTGAGTAATTACTTGAATGCATTATTGACTTTCAGTACATAATTACCAATTACTTCCTCATTTAACCACTGAACTTTATAATTTTCATCAATCAATCAATCAATGAAATGTATAGCACCAGTCCATAAATTATGTAATGGCTCGGAATGGTGGCTGAATCAAATGATTCAGCATTGAAAATACAGTTTTAACGGCCATTTGATGGCATTTTAAGAAGCTATGCTTATTAAAATTGTTATGATTTTATTTTACATACATTTTTATATTTCTAATTTAATACTTCATACAGTACTTAATGTAGTGTTTACCATTGTGTTTATATTATTGTATCAATATAGCACTACTGCAAGACAATTTGGAGTTTATTAACATTTCATAATTTTATATATACAGTATAATATACAGTGTGTACATAATTTCAATTAATGCAATATCTTAAGATGTGTGCATATTTTATATTCATAATTTTAATGTAGTCTCATTTTCTAGTATTTATTAAATTTCAAGAAATAATTACAATAGTAAAAGCACATTTACAAAAAAGTTATGTATGACTATTTATATTATATGCAAATTTAGTAAGAAATTTTAAAAACTTGAAAAATTAATCACTTTTAATAACCTTAAATAATTATTTACTAAAGTTAAAATCAATTAGGCTTAATAAATGCATATTTCTCATTAGAAAAATCTAGAAAAATTAAATTTGTATTAATATAGTTACCATTATTTAGTTATTTCTTTGAAGATGCTTTCATGTTATCCTTGCCCCAGGAGCAGATTTGGGGGGGGGGGGGGAAAGAGGGTATAAGCAATACACCCAACCTAAAATGACTGAAGTAATAGCCTAGTAAATTTGCCTATTTAAACTTTTCTTTGAAACCTCTGCAAATATTAGTTATCAACCACATCCGTGTCATGAGGGACTATACTCCTATGGTGGTGTTGATTCAAACCACCCGAAATTGTTGGTAGCCGCTCCACTAACAAAGAACCATGGACCCATCCCATGCCCTACAGTCCAATCTTGTACAATAACAACAAAATTATCCATACATGTGCTGTACATATCTAAAAGATTCATCCAACCAAAATAAAAAATATACATTTGTAAAGAATATACATGAAAAGGGGGGGGGGGGGGGGGAAATGAGTTGCTTATAAATTGTACATTCAAAAATTTTAACAAAAGTTTCAAGTGACAAAAAATCTTCACCAATTAATGGACATTAAAAAATACACCCAAAGAATTTAATTTGATTTGCTCATTTCAAATAACCACTAAAGGTATTAACTTTTTTTAACTTTTTTTCCCAATGTGTTTTCAATGATCAACACTCAACATGATCAACATTTTAGCTTTACAATGGTACCAAACACTTTATTCTAATCACAATCTTTGACCTGTAACAGTAAAATGAAAATGACTCACTTTTGGAGATTTACGCAATTTCGTACAACGAAGCAGAGATAATCGCGATTTCATGAAAGTAAATCAATACTGCTCTACACTACAGTATTTTAAACAAACAAATAGTGAAATACTTACGGTCCAGACTGAATATAGTGTTCAAATTGTTTGTACATATCGGTAATTACCCCATCAGATTCCGTTTAAAAAAAAACCTGAAACACGGAGATCTCCGTGTTTGGCAGTCAAGCATTGGTTATCAAACACAGGTAGAGTGTTAACAGATGGTTTACATAAATTCTTTGTTGGCAGAAAGTTACAAACACAGTATATGCAAAGACTATTATGGGATAAATAGTATTTTCTATATTGGTGCGGATAAATTTTTCTTGTTACAATTATAAGTTAAAACAAAAATGAAATATGTTATGACTAGAGGTCCATTACTGGATCTGTTGTCATTAGCATCTAACGATCCGTTACTGAATTCCGCTGATTTTGGGTCTAAAACATCCGGTATCCACCACAGGATTTGCTGTATGATAAGTCTTGGAGTTTCAAACCAAAGGTAATTAAGTACACTGGCATACGGTCTGCTAAAATAATTTCAATAAAATGGCAGCAATTTTGGTGTTTCATTGTAGGTCTCTAAACAAATTGTACATGTAAGAAATCGCTCACTGAACTCATCTTGATCATCATTCGATGGTCCTCCAAACAAACCACCAACTTGTCCTGGATCACTTGGATTGGATAGAGTTAATGGACTTGATGCTGGAAACTGACTGGAAGGAGGCAATAGTTGGCTCGGTGGTCGCTGTCTCTTATACACATCTAGATGTGTATAAGAGACAGGGCCACTGATCCCTACTATAATAGCTGGATTGCTCATTGGCCACTGATCTCTACTATAATAGCTGGATTTCTCATTGGCCACTGATCTCTACTATAATAGCTGGATTGCTCATTGGCCACTGATCTCTACTATAATAGCTGGATTGCTCATTGGCCACTGATCTCTACTATAATAGCTGGATTGCTCATTGGCCATTGATCTCCACTATAATAGCTGGATTGCTCATTGGCCACTGATCTCCACTATAATAGATGGATTGCTCATTGGCTGCTTTTAATGAACCCATTGGCCAGTCAAGTTTTTGTTGACATTCATTTGTTTAAATTAGTGTTAAAAATTACGTTTATTTCAATACATATAATAATAAAATTTAATTTTATGAAATTCTTTTCACAACCTCTAATCACTCAACGTGCCTGTTTGTGCAGTTAAAAAAGTGCAAGCAAAGTTGCATTGTTATTGATCCGATCGATATCACTATAACAATGCGACTTCGATAACACTTTTGTAAACTGCATAAACAGGCGCATCAAGTGGTTAAATGATTTGAAAAAAATCCTTACGTTAAATTTAAATTAATTATTAAAAAGTATTGCAAGAATCGTTATCTTTAACAATAATTTAAACAAATGCCAAAAAAACTTACCTAAACAGGTAGGCCTACATTACTTGGGTTTCCAACATGGCGTCGGTGGCTTCAATTTTTTCAGTACAATGATTGGCCGATGAGCAATCCAGCTATTATAGTACAAATCAGTGGTTTTACCCTGCATAATGGCCCAAACAAAAGAGATAAGGGATGAGAAACAAGTTTTGAATTTTATCAAACCGCTCCATAAGCAACAATCTTTGTAAAATGTTTCAAGAATACCGTAGGCCTTGTATAAATGTAATTATATAAACCATTGCTAGGCCTGGATCAGGAAACTCGACAGCAAAAACCTTGCTGACGAGTGTCTGGGATTTACAACAGCGGTGGAAGGCCCTTCCTACAGCAATTGCTGTCAGTGCTGTGGGGAAATTCAAACCCTGCATGGCCTAACAACTATCTACTTAACTCTCTTGCACTGTCACCATCTCCTTAATCAGACTTCTGACACTATTCATAGTCTCCACGTCCTGATGCACTTCTAGCACATCGTCAGCTGCGGGTTTGATAAAGTCTGGCGTCTGCATTGCCAGGACCTCTTCAATCCGAGCGGACAGCTGGAAACTCATTGCCACCATTTCATAGTCAGCATTTTGCAGGTCGTTGACAGTACGTTTCGTGAAGGTGCAGGCACTTTTTATAGTAGACAGCTTGAGATCAAGGTTATTTAACTGCGATGAAAGAAGACTTTGCTTGCGTTGATACTGCATGTTTAACTGTTAAAAAAATCAATATAATTTTTATTATGATTTGTAGCTTAAATTAAGATTACACAAATGTTAAAAATAAGAAACATTAATGTGGCTCTGCCCTTTGAAACGCCGCTACCGCACTAGATGAGATACTGCCTGTAGAATTAAATAGCATTTAAGACAAAGACAAATGCATTGATTAAACAGGGTGGATTGCTATATAAACGGTTGACTGGTGGTAGTCTTATTCATCACTATAGCCAGCTTTATCATACCAAGGGAGTTGTTTAATGACAACTCCCTGATCATACAGCATTAAGACCATATATAGCAATCTGATATCAGATCTGTTAAAATCACAAGATATTCAGACTACCTTTGTCAAACATGCAGTTTCTTGTTGCTGTATAAACAATTTAATGCTATCAAATGCATCACATATTTCTGACTTGGTTTTCATGTGCCTTTCTTTTAGGCTTTGAAGTTGTGCGTTAACCTCATCACGTCCATGCTCCAAAGGACTGACTCGTGATTCTGCTTCAAACATCAATGAATTAATGGCATGTAGACGATCCTCAGCTGCTGAACTCAAGTTCAATATCATGTGTCCATCCTCATGTTCGTATCGTATACATTTCTTGCAGACAATAATATGGCACGTACTGCAGTAATATTTTAATTCCTTCTCGGAATGGTACTGACAATTCCGCCGTTTCTTTGAAGAAAACTGCAACTTTAGTCTAAGAGCAGCTCTCTGAAATATATTTCCACTGGCATGACGATCTATTTTTGGCTCATTTGTCCGGGCTCTTGGTCTTTGCGTTACACTGTGAGATTCTAAAGCAGGTACGGTCGAACTTACTCTTGGCCGATTTGGCTGTTCTGATAAGAAATCTGTAAGATCACGAACAAAAATGTTATTTGGTAAAGCGCTGACACCTTGCCGTGGGACCTGAACCTCTCTACGGCAAACAGGGCAGGCAAACTTCCGTTTATCCTGTGCCAATTTTTGTATACAACCACAGCAGAAGGAATGCATACAAGGCAGCAATTTTGGTGTTTCATTGTAGGTCTCTAAACAAATTGTACATGTAAGAAATCGCTCACTGAACTCATCTTGATCATCATTCGATGGTCCTCCAAACAAACCACCAACTTGTCCTGGATCACTTGGATTGGATAGAGTTAATGGACTTGATGCTGGAAACTGACTGGAAGGAGGCAATAGTTGGCTCGGTGGTCGGCTAGGTCTAGGGGGCGGTTGTGCTGGGCAAGGTCTAGTGGTGGAACCTTCTTCGAAAGGGTTTGAACTTACTCCCTCTAGGCCTAGGCCTACGTTTTCGTCCGAGAGAAATGGATTTCCCCCACAACTCGCCATCTTAACGCCAGGTGCAAGGACGGCTTAGCTGGGGCCACAGGGGCTTAGGCCGAATAGCCTAGGATTATTTTTTATTTATCAGCAAATTAAATAAGCATTAACAGTGTGAAACATTATATACGCCTAGGTCAAACTCTAGTTACCCCAATTCAGTTATCATCGTGAAAAAGAAAACGAGGAAGCAGGAATGTTTTTATCACAGACGAATACCAATCAATCAACCCTCATCAGTCAGCTGAACATCATTGCGCGATGAAAACAGAGCTAGAGAGAGAGAGAGAGAGCAGCGATCCATTTTCGACAGAGGGCAGGCTTCAAAATATATTGCGAAAGTGAACTTGAGGAGATACAGGAGTTTGTGGCGCAGCTAGACTATTTGCCCGAAGGAGACTAATGTCCTCCACGAGAACAAAGTGGGCTTGGTTGTTCGGGCGTCTCTAAAATATTTCGAATGTGGTCCAGGGGAAATATGACAATTCAGGGGGTTTCAAAGGCTTATTTAATCGATTTTGTAGATTCTACTAAAATTTAGAAAATACATAATGTTTTATAATGTTGCTCTGGCGCCACCCCTGCTTGAGGACTCATTCAAAAAGTTTGTAAGTTAGATTTAAATGTTGGTTCCAACAGGGAGATTTTACACCTCGATGGTTCCAATTGGAACGTTCGAGATACTTATTATTAGCAAGCATGGTTATAGATAAAAATATGCTGGGAGCCGGTCCTCCATGGATATTTGACAAGAATTCCTGATGCTTTAAAGAATTCCCTCTTCTAGAATTAAAAACGAAACAAAGTGGAAAGATGTACTCTCTGAGAAAAACCTCAAAAATTAAATTAAAATATTGAGTTTTCTTGTAAAACTTAAGGATAAAATAAGTTAACTTGTAATACCGATCGAAAAAAAGTATATTAAAAAAATATTTTTTACGGAACTTATTATTATAGGATTCGCATCTGTGACCTGTTTCTATCTTTGATCCTTTTATTTTATGTATGTTTGGATGTGTTTTGTAATGATTAAAAAATTGGTCTGATGTCTCCATATCGCCGCTATCGGTAAGCCTATTGTTTCTTCGATTCAATCTAATCTATCTACTTGCTGCCAATTTACATTGATTTTGATAGGGACGGTAGGACAGAACTTATTTGTATACCTCCTTGGACAGAATACATTTTCATAAAACGAAAATTTGTATTATATATAGTGTTCACATAAAAAACACATGCGCACAGTTTATAATATCGGAAACATGAGGGCATCATAATGCTTATTAAAGAAACAAGAAATAGCCCACAGATTTATCACAGAATATAAAGTCACTGTGTTTAAAACCCACTCATTTCAATCCGGTCGATGTCTTTTCAATGCTTTTGTCTACTCATGCTTTATCTTAAGCACACCATCTATTACGTAATCATGAATACAATTCAGCTAATTATCTTGTGGGCAACGCAGTGCTGAAAGGAAATAAGCACAACAACGAAAACCGAACGAATTCATCTATCCATTGAAGGCCACGTACAGAGTTTGGCTGTGAAAAAAAATCAAGTAAAATCATGCCACTGAAAGTTATAAGAGTTCGGCTATGAATAATTGTAAACAATTCTTTACTATTCAATCTCCTGAAATCGACGTAAAAAAGGATTAGAAATTTCAACCGGTCTGTAGGCTCGCTGTAAAAACGGAAATGGACGTTTCAGGTAGGACTTCATTTTAAAATACTGTACATATTATTCGTAGTAATATTCAGGTTAAATGATCACTTTTCTATCAACATGTTCTTTAAGTTATTCGTTTTCGCTTATTTTCATGTCTTAATCAAGCATACCAACCATAGAATAACCAGGAGAGGTATAAGCAAATCAGACGGTAAAGGTTCTTTACAAGATGAATTACGTTTTTTTAAAAAGGCATGCACTGTATAGAAAATAAGTACAAACCATTCCCGGTGAAAATTATTTAGGTTCTAAGACTTCGATCAGTCTACACGTGTATTTGTTGTCCCTTGGATCATTCGAGTGTTAAGGTTGCTTATTTTTAGTAGTACATTACGTAATTTTCCGTAATTTTCAAGTTCATTCAACTACATTCTCAATCAAAGCAATTATATGCAAACAGGTTTCGCCATCTTGCGTAATGTTGTACAACACATGAAAGGGCGGCAAGGTCCCAAGATTTCCAAAGATTTATTGTCTGGACCGATGTCTGGTTTGTTTACATACATTCATCATAAAGAATCGTTTCACTTGTACTGAACTTTTTGAAACATTTATTAAAGAAAACAATTTTCAAATTTATAACTAAAAATATAAAAAAAGAATAAAAAAAGGTTACAAAATTTCGACCTTAATGTGTAGGAATATTCCATTTATGTGAAGGGTATTGGTTTTGCACTTTTTGAAGTGTTTTCGCAATATATAATCATATTATTTAAGTATATTCTATTGTTCAATGCCTTTCAGAACTTTTATTAGATTTTATCTGTTAAAATTTGAAGATATATCGATTATCGCAAAAATAAGGTTCTCAAATCTGACCCCTTTTGTAAAAGTGGAATAGATTATTCGAAGGACATTGTCCATGCTGTCATAATAGACGATGGTCACGCTGAATATTAATTAATCACGTGTCATGGCCAAAATAAATGGTTGAAATTTGCATATTAGAGCTCAATATTATGCATGGGATCATGTTTTTTTTTCTTTCCTGGTTGTAGAAATAAAACACAAGAAACAGTAGTACTTTAAAGAGTTGAATATGACTATTAGCTTTCTCTTCTTCATGTGATGCGTTCGAGCACATAGCCCTCTTCTTTAGGTGAAACTAGTCGTTTTAATATGTTATTAAACTAACTGTGCTGTCTTTAAATTACATTTTTGTACTAGTTTCCAGGAATTTATTAAGGAGGTGTGGTATTTATCATCATCGGATTTGTATACGACTCCTCTATATTTCCCAATTGCACAGTAAAAGTTTTGCCCAATCTCTGATTGTAGACAGTGGCGTATAGGGGAGGACGAGAGAGAAAAAAATGAAGTGGGACGGCTCGACAGTATGTTATTTTAACAACTTGTTGCTTTCCAGGTGGCGACTAGGGCAAAGCTATTTTGGGATGGAGTGCACTCCTCGTCCGCACACTCCTAAATACGATTATAGACTGTTCTGTTCCTCGGTCAAATTACAGTACTGTACTTTTATTTGATGATATGCTGTCTCTTATACACATCTGGAATGCACAAGAAGAACGCATTGAGAAATAAAAAACCCGTCTCATAAAGACCTGCTTCAATAAGCAGAATACGGATGATGCTGATAAAGCTGACGACGCTGATGCTGCTGCTGATGAGGATGACTACAGTATATCCGCATCTGGTATAAAACCTCACTGTCTGAACCTAAACAGATACAGTATCTGACAAAAATTTGTTTCTTGTGAGTTTTTTTGGCAATACTGTATTATCTAATACTTTCAATTTGGCAGATAATGTTTATATATAATAATAATAATAGTTCCGATTAATGTTCTATGCATAGGTGTCAATGAGGGTTACTATGTTCATGCACCAAGCTATTCACAACAACACGAGGAAGTTCTGTCAAGTGTGACGTCGCCAAACTTTGCAGGCATTGGAATGCAGCCGAGTGGGGAGCATCCGGCGCATTCACAGTCGAACCAGCAACTTCAGCAACTGGGGATGTCCAATTCACATTTGAAAAACCAACTCGCTCAAACGCCTGAAATTGTACCAGTATCCATTCAGGCTATAGAGAGTAACAATAGACAAAAACAGCAAATCATGCCACCGACACCGCCAGGCGAGACACGTAAGTAACCGGACTATATTATATAGTTTCATTTTCTTTTTTTTTTTTTAAAGCGCGGTAGACGTAAAGTTCTTAGTATCAGAATAAAGCCTGGTTTGGTCTATAAAAAATAGCAAAACTGTCTCTGTAGTGAATCTTAGCATCGGCCAATCAGCGTCGTGTAAAGCTGCTGACGAGATGGTCAAGCATTTTTCACCGAAGTATATTTTAACCATATTTTAACTTAACCAAGTAATAATATGGTGGTAAATGGGGAAGTAAACAAGTCACTCAAAATAACTTATATGTAAAGATCGTGACGAAAATGAAGATTTTTTTTTGGGCAGAAAGTACAATCATTTTGTTAAGTCATTTGTTTTAGGCCTATTCCCAATCAAATTGACATAATGTAGGCCTATTCGATGATTCTGGTAGAAAAGTGTGAACTCGCATATTTAACTTAAATTAAAAGTAACTATTTTAAATCAACAGCGTCTGCTGATGAGAAAGATATTGATGAAGACAGGAGACGGATTCTATTAAACATGATTCCCCCTAACTCTATGTCGTCTGGTCAAACACCAGGTCCTTTAGTCACTTCTTTAACTTCGATGCATCACCAATACAGCAACCCCATGAACATGCCGGGTCCACCAAACGTAAATGCACCGCAAATGATGATGATGCAGTCAACGCAGAACTCACAAGCTAACTTTCAGATGCCCCATCCTCAAACGTCAACGTTTTCTTTTTCTCCGCACATGGTTAACATGCCAGAAGAACAAAACCACATCAATGATAATCTAGAGGATGAGATATTAGAAGTAGAGGAATCTCTGTCCGGTAAGCGAATTGATTTAATTGCATGCAGAACCAGGGTTATTTATAATAACTCATCATTAATTTCACTAATAATATTTAAATAAACTATTTAATTTGCAACCCAGACTCCGGAGAAAAATTATTCAAAAATCTCATTGACCGTTCCTGTGTTTTTCGTCTTAGACCTTAGAAAAATCAGTAGTACAAAATATCAACATTTTTTCTCTCCAGAACATGGCTTTAAAATTACTGTAATCAAATATGAATATCAACGTCTAGCCTTCTACAACAAAAATTCTTAAATGGATTACAAGCCAAGATGTGTCTGGTTAATTCTTCGATTTTATTAGTTAAGTGGTTTCTTGAACATGAAATTTAAACTGTGTTTTGTCAGTACATCATTTATGTATTTGTAATTAAGTGGAACGCACCAATCTGTGTGCACCTCCTTTTCAAAGCCGTATGTTCGCAAAGTTAATAAATATATAAATATTTGCAGTTAATATCTAACTTTAAATATAAAGCAATTCAAATATTTAATCGTTTATTTTTCATGTTGATTATTACAACACCGACAACATATTTCAGCTTTTTAAAAAAAGGTGTTTAAAGTATTTAACAAGTTCATGCAGTGTGCTGTAGGCCTACCTTAGAGGAGACTAACTGTATTTTTTGTGGTTATTCTAAAAAATAACTTAAATGTCTATATTTGTTTTTATTTTTATCTCAAGCTTCAGCAAAAAAGAGAAGAAATAATAAATGTGCAGTGTTAGACGATGATAAAGACGACCGTTACTTTGAACGTCGGAAACGCAACAACCTAGCTGCCAAAAGGTCTAGAGATGCTCGCAAGATGCGAGAAGAGCAGATCGGAATGCGTGCGAGTTTCCTAGAAAAGGAAAATGCGATGCTACACGCACAGTTGACGACTTTGAGAGAAGAAGCGAACGCTCTTCGTCAGTTACTTTCCCAAAGAACAATGATGACATCTCCCCATCATCAACTTGGACCGGGACCACAACAAGGCCTGCCTCAGCATTAACCCACAATCTTTTAGGATATTGACCTTTATAAATTACAGTATATTTCAAAAAGAGTTATATTGGAAGTTGTGATGAACATCTCAAAATACTGTTGTTAAATTATAGCGGTGACTATTGTGGCAGCAACAGTCGAATGACGCAAGTTCGCCAAAAGATAGACCCGCTATTTTTTTGCACATTACGTTGTGTCCATGTTAAATCTATTCTATAGTCCTAACACTAAACGGTTTTTATGTTTAAATGACAAGAACGTTTTATTATTAAAGATGTTCTCCAGCACAACTTGTGCAATACCAGGACCTAAATAGAAAATGCAGCTGATTTGTGGGTTTTTTTTTTTTGGGGGGTTTTTTAATTTGAGTACTATAAACATTTCGGTAAAATATCATTGGTTCTGACAGAAATACACGGTACGGTATCAACTATTTGGCATGTCTGAATGAAAAACAAGCTAAGATGTGGGGTTTATAATACTCATTTCTTCATTAGTGTTAATAAAATTATGTTCGAGTATTGGTTTAAGCAAAATAAACAAAACGTGGTATGTACTAATTAAGGTAATTATACAAATAAACATTCATTTCTGAATTAATTTTGTCTGAAATGTTTGTCTTGTATATATATCAACCATGCGAATATCTGCAAATTAAATTTACCAAAAAACTTCGGTAATCGGTAATAATGTATCTTGTATGTTTGAAAGTAGTACATTTTTTAATGTAAAAGCTAAACTGCGGGGTCAACAATAATAGGCATGCCTATCAAAGCTACAGTAAACGAAAACCTACTCTGGTAGATTAAGGAAAAGATACTCAAAGGGATATGTAGGCTACAAATTAAGATATAAAAATATAACAATCTGAATTAAATTCCTCTGAAATGTATGTCTTGATCCAAAATGCAATAATCTACAGATATTAAGTATGTTTATTTATCTGTAATATTAGCCCTGCATGTATTATTAATACAATACCGTATTAAACTTATAACTGTAAATATTTAAAGGGATGATTAAAAAATAATTATCCTTACGACCCATTATTACCTTCATGCCTATGTTATTGTTGATAAATGTAGAATTAGGTATTTCTTTTCGACTTTTTTTTTTATTAAATTGCATTTTTTAGTTTCATCTCAAAACGGAAACGAACGCTTTATCATTAAATTTAATTTAGACTATTTTTTAAATGGTACAGGTCTCCCTCCATTTAAAGACCACCTCCAATATAAAACCACTTGAGTGGCCCCAAATGAACAAATGTCTTTTATCTTTATTATTCTAATTGGAGACCAAAGCTGCGAAGACCATAAAAATATGTCCCAATTAAAAGTTGTCTTTAATGGAGGGAGGCCTATACCTATATATTGGTGGAATGGTCGCTTTTAGATAACCACTGTCTATTTATGGTGGTTTAAAAAAATCGTATAGTATTTTCAGAAGCGTCTAATGTCTCGCTATATTTAAACATTATGGTAAAGAAATGATCAATGATTTATTTACCATTTCGAAACATATCTTGTATGCATGAGTTACTGTAATTTAAAGTACAGTAGTGTTTATTTTTGAAGAATCGTCTTTGTGTTAGCTGTGTGTAATACAGTGATATAATTTGTATCTGAAATTAATAGTACATACGATTAAAGTTCAATAATGAATGAAATAATAACCAAATATTTAGAATTTATTCCTTTACTTTTGGTTACTATTGAAATATGTTATTTTAGCATCAGTCTACGATGTATAGAAAGTACAAATAAAATTGCACGCAAATGACCAGCTCTATTGTGGGTTTCAACATTTGTGTACTGTAATAATTCGGTTGCGGCAGAGGTCAGCCGTATGTATTATTAGAGAGTAGCTGAGCTCAGTCGGCTAAACTGGTGGCAGTCACTGTGTGTGCGTGAACCGTGGAGATCTCTTGGTCCCCGGTTCAATTCCCATCGTTGCTCTCCTTGTATTTCAGCTAAAGGACTGGATGCACATTACGATAGCGCACTGTCTTTTGGATGAGATATTTAAGCAGTTGGTACTATGGCCCATGTGTAAGTTAAAGAACGCAGTATAGTACTCTTCAGAAAAGAGTAGGGGATTTTCTCCCGGTGTACTGCCCCCAATGGAAATAATTTTTCTTCAGACTTTCGTGGTTATCCTGGGTGTTTACACCGAATAAATACAAACCAATCCAAAGGCTGCACCACCTTCGATCACATTTGGTGATTGGATTTTGTAATAGTATGACCATCTAATGTACACTTTTTACCATTCAAAAAAACTTTCGCATTGACGATGACAGAGCTGTACCCCCGTCGTCGCAACTCCACGAATAGGACCAAAAATATTAATTTGCCTATCCAACTAACAATATCTTGATTGCCAATCTCCAATACTGTGGTCTAGAGGCACAATTTTGCACCATATTAAGCCATGAAAACTCTCCCCTATGAAGTTGAACTCTACCATGAATATCTATTCCGGGACACTGACTGAGAATCTAGAGTCGGCCCCTGGATCGGATTCCGCTGTCCGACCTCATGTGTCAACATATTTCTGAAGCCGCTGCTGGACCTAGCTCATTCCTTCTCCCCTAAGGATCACTTTATATACTATTATGTCATCTAGTCTGTTGAGAATAATTGTATTGATTGAAAAGTAAAGAGATTTTGTAACTACGAAAACAATACATCTTCATCATTGACTATCATACACGAACTGAATATATCATTGGTTCACGAAAAAGCAGGTATGCATGGCCTATACTGTCAAAGAAATGCTACCCTAGGAGATGGATTGACTAAAAATTTGGTAACATATAACTGTATTCGTTAGCGTTATCGTAAGCTTACACCTCCCAAATAACATTAAATATACAAACAACTTCAATACTTATCCTCCAAGTTTATTAGCTGTACACAAACAGTATATATAAATGCATACTGTCTGTAATAATATCTGGAAATCCCTAAACAATTTAATCAAAAACATTAATTACTCATTAAATAACGTGTCAACAGATCTTTCCAGTGTGTTAATCAAACTTAACAATTAACCAATCAGAATAGAAACAGGATTACGTGCTCGTCCCACTAGACGCAGGTTGTCCCATAAATGTACATTTTTGCGTATTTTAACATTATCATTTTGTGAGACCTTACATCATTATCAAAGAGGCAGATTTAGCGGAACAAAGACATACTATTATTACCCAATTTAATGGGAAATGTCAAAAAAATTGAATAGTATTATTTGTGTGTATGTAAACGGATGATTACCTATTTTAATCCCCAATCGTTTTAGTCGCTACACTTGATGAAGCCAGCATAAACTAATAGTGAAAGCCTGTGTATTAAATAATTGAAGTTAGTCTATTAAAAGTGCTACCAGTGTTCATATTTCATACTTTTTAATTAAATGCTTATTATTTACTTAAATATACAAAGTAAGGATTTTGGATATTAATTTGTTTTTATTAGCTCCATACAGAAAGTTTTGTCTTTAAGTAGAAGAAATTAATCCATGGCAGTGCATTTCAAAATTAGGACATTTGCACTTAAAAATAACAATACTATATATACGTCAAAATAACTTGATACAGATACGAAATTTAATCCACACGACTTATAAATCAAACGAATTGTATTTATCCAGATGTCTTGAATTAGAATCACAGGAAAATTTCACAAGGAATAAAATATTTGTTACAAACTGTCCCTTTTATAGCAAAGTGGCGAGATGGAATTTTATCTTGAAAATGTCTTGTTTGTTGTTAGTCTAACAAGCAATTAGCGTAGTCATTTTTTATCCACTAATGAAACAATAGTATAGCCATTAGGCATTTATTTTTCATGCATTACTAATTTTTCAAATAACTCACGAAAAACTACTGTAACTAAATGCTTCGCCATTTTGCGGTAAAAAGGACAAAAAGTTTGGCCTGTGTTTAGTCCCACTTAAAAAAACAAAACAGCCCAAATTTATTCCTGTCGAAATTAAAATCACTTTTATTTCCACATCAACTATCTCGTATAAGCTGAACCACATGCTTACAAGTACAGCTACACAATGCATCATGGGTACATTTTGTTAAATAATGGAGTGCGCCCTCTACGATGAATAATTTACCATGTTCTACAATGAAAATGACATTTTTATATATTCAACAAAATTTGCACTCATCATAGACTTCATCATCAAAACTGTACAGTGATATCATTATATTTCAATTTATCTTTTAAAGATGTTCAATTCCAAATTTCGTTAGCTATTTAAAACGTGATTCTGGTACAATGTTTGCTTTTTCTTCAATCGTCATCAAACAGATCGTCTTCCGCTGCTAAGCCAGCAAATTTGTTTTTCTGAGCAAAATCCTTGAAGTGAAAAATAAAAAAAAAAAAAAAAAAGAAAAATGAAATTAATTATAATGTAGAAATGATTGAGGATTTTTACCAAAATAAAACTATGTCCACACTAACAAAATTTTATGTGACAAATTTGTGTGATGGTCATAGAAAATTTTGGTCATGATGACATCACATTACTACCATATATGGGCATACTATGACTATATTATATGGGCATACAAGTGTTTTGTCAAAGAAAATATAAGTCAATTACTGTATGCAATTGAATTAGCTGTTTTAGCCATATACTAGGTAGCTTTCGCCACAAGACGTTAACCTTAACTTTAACATTAGTACCCAACATGCAGTGCGATAGCTCCGCCCCTTTTGTAAATAAATCGAAATATGCATGCGCAAACCCGTAACGTACGTTGAGCACGTAAAATCCTGGAATTAACGTACTCCGCAACGCAAGATGAATAAATTATGTCATCCGTTAACGTTAAGGTTACCGTCGTGCGGCGAAAATAAGACCTAATGAAGCCAGCATCTAATGCTTGCAAAATCTATTGAAATAAATTCCATCTATTAAGTTAGTCCTGAGTGCTATGTTCTTATTTTTTATCTAATATCATATATGGGTTAATTATACTTGTCAGATTTTATTGAGTGGGTACATTTCAGCATTGCTAGGGTAGTTAAATGGTGATAAGCAAAGATGTGTTGTCTTTTTAATCCATATATTTTAAGTCTATGTAGTATACAACTAAATGTACAGAATAGAAAGAAATTTAGCATCTCTTACTGGCGGTGCTTTCTCTTCATATTTTGGAATCTCTCTTGGTTTTCGTACTTTGTCGTTTTTGCGTTGAGGTTCGTTATGTGGATGTCGTCTGTCACTATGGTAACGCTCATCTTTTCGAACTGGATCACGGCTTTTGCCTTGAGTTGGTCTAGAATCTAGATAAAAAACATAAATAAAGGAATGTAATTACAGTATAGAAATTAATAAGGATATGTTACTGTAATTGACATACAACATAAGACCTTACAATGTGATGTTACTGTACTATATTAATTGCATTATCAACATTCATATTGTTATGCCAGAAAAGCCAAATAACTTAATCAAAACGTCAGGACACTCTTAACAAAGTTAAATTACATTAAATAACACCTATTTACCGAGGGTCTGAATAGTTATAAAACTGATTTCTATTAGGGCTCATCTTTAAAATTTCTGTGCCTTATCGTATGTCAGAAATGTTATCTACAACCTGGCCCTTAATAAAGATTATTGTTATTCAATAGAATTGTTACCATAATTAAATTGGACAAGTAGTCATAAAAATCCTGGGTTTGGTATAATATCTCTTTTTGCATGACCAATAAATGCGTTGATGCAGACCAAGCTAAGTGGCTATACGTGGCAATAGTGTTTAGAATTGAATCATAAATGTAATGAGAAAAATTATTGTAATTATTACCTTTCTTTGGACCTGAAGGCGATTCATTCGTTCGTGCAGAAGTTGATTCTGATCTAGGAGAAGTCGGACCTGTTCTTCGTTGGGCCCAAGCATTTTCTTTAGGAGCAGGAGCAGGGACCAACACCTTTGCAGGGTCTTCCTTCCTAGGTGGCGGTGATGTGGGGGATTTGGGTGATATTGGTGAAAGAGGAGTGTCATCTTTCTTGGACTCGTCATCGGATCTCTCACTTTCTCTCCTCAGCATAACTAATAAAAGATATCAATTAATATGCAATAAATTATATAAATTAGGAGAATTGCAGCTTTTAATTATATCAATAGCATTAACACAAATAAACAATAGAAAGTATCAACTTTTCAGGCAATGGAAATATTATTTGAAGATACCATGTGCAACTTTAATCATCTGATGTTTTTTTGGTAACAATCGTTTAGCCCACTAATGGTAAATTGGCAGATAAGCCGAGCATACCCCTGAACATCTTCATGAAATCTCATTAATCTACTGTAGTTTAAACATAAGTAATACATTTTTGAGCAAATTGCGTTCACATGAGTTGTTCCCAGCAAACAAGCTTGCCAGGTTTGACCCACCGAGTTTTGACATGACCTGTTCTAATTCCAGTTATACCATAAACATTTTCCTATATCTTTTAGTAATTTTGCAAAGAAACTAGGGAATAAAAAATTAATAACCATGTTTGGTACCTGGCCTTGGTCCCTTTCCAGTTGAACTTGAACTGCTATGCCTCGTTCTACCTTCATCGTTTGACCTTTCACTATCTCGCCGTGGCCTCTCACGATTCATTTGTCTGAAAATAGGAACAATGAGTATATTGTACATAGCTTTTCCTGATGTTCATTGTAAACAGTTGGTAATTGAGCAAAATGATTTGATTTGTGTTTCATAGGAAGCAACTGAATGTCCTAAATTAGTTTTTTTGAAGTATTTTCTATATTAAGGCATAAGTAAACATTTGTAAATAATGTATCGTAGCATATAAACTTGAGATACAACACACAAACACACAGAGTTAGGCAGTAACCTAACTACGCCGATAAAGGGCCCAGTGCAAGATTAATTGCCGGGCCCTTTGATGTGATAGGGGAATTCCCTGAAGTTTTTCAAAATTCCATTCTAAGAATTGCTTCTTTTACTCCTACTCCCAGGCCTAGGTTAGTAATAAATACTAATGATAAACTGATTCGTAACTATTTTAAGAGGGCATATTTGGTCTCAGCAGCTGTGCTAAACTAATCAGGAAAATTCATGGCACATAAATTTAAACGATTGCAGTTGCGGGTCAGGGAATTTGAAACAGAGGGGCCAGGGAGGGATTTTCACAGGTGAAGGATGACGACCACCTCAGCCCCACCATTGTTGGGGCTGAGGTAAGAAAATTTATGATTATAACCCTTCTAGATGGCCAAAAATGGCACTCTCATTTTCCCATTTTAAATAATCTTTAAAACATAGGGGGGCCCGGTTGGGGCCCCTTGGATACACCAACACAGCAATTAATAATTACTCCTCTAAAAACCGAATATTATTGAGAGGCCCACTGGTCATTTTTTTTCCCTTCAAAATTAAGTTGCAAATGATTTTAAATTATTATTTTTAGGTCTATTTATAAATGGGCCCCTAATAGCCCTGGGCCTCAGTGCATTGCACTGAGGCCTAGGTTAGTAATAAATACTAATGATAAACCGATTCGTAACTATTTTAAGAGGGCATATTCGTTCTCAGCAGCTGTGCTAAACTAATCAGGAAAATTCATGGCACATAAATTTAAAACAATTGCAGTTGCGGGTCAGGGAATTCGAAACAGAGGGGCCAGGGAGGGATTTTCACAGGTGAAGGATGACGACCACCTCAGCCCCACCATTGTTGGGGCTGAGGTAAGAAAATTTATGATTATAACCCTTCTAGATGGCCAAAAATGGCACTCTCATTTTCCCATTTTAAAACATAGGGGGGGGGGGGGAAGGCCGGTTGGGGCCCCCTTGGATACACCAACACAGCAATTAATAATTATTCCTCTAAAAACCGAATATTATTGAGAAGCCCACTGGTCGTTTTTTTCCCTTCAAAATTAAGTTGCAAATGATTTTAAATTATTATTTTTAGGTCTATTTATGAATGGGCCCCAAATAGCCCTGGGCCCCTGTGCTTTGCACTGCCCTTAGCTACGCCACAGATAGCTTGGTTGGAAAGGTGACTACTTTATCAGTTGAGGAACTGGGTTAAAATCTTCTGTTTACTAGGTACTGGGCACATTTTACAAGTGGCATGGGTAATTAAACTTGGTGGAAATTTAGTAAGGCTGTTGTTCACACTGAATATTTTTTGGTATAACTAATTAGTTTTCCAGACAATTATATTCAATTTTTTGTTCTCCTACCGATTTCTCCTTGACTCTTCAAGATCTGCCTTTTCAGTCTCGTGTTCTCGCTGTAATTTCTCTTCTATTTGTCTCTCTCTAGCGGCAGTGTCAACCGGTTTAGCATTACCAAATATGGAAGATTGGCTTTTTGACGTTGAATTTGATGAGGACGACGTTTGACTGCTAGATCCATCAACTGGCTGCGACCGGGGCTTGAGAACTAATTTCTTTCTTTCCTTTGGAGGTTCTGAATAAAAGTTAATGACAATAAATGATCAATTTAAATGTTTAAATCTGATAATTAAAATGGTTTGCGGTTACATAATAGTGTTTCAGGTACCTAGAGTTAGTCATGTTCCAAAAAATTTGCTAAAAGCAGGCCCAGCCATGATGGCATGAGGTGGGTGTAGGCTGTCAAAAAACCACCACAGGCCAAAGCCTTCATCTGCCCAAGTGGAGACAAAGTAGGTCACAATAAGTCCTGCTTGTGTTGTGGACATTATAATTACATCATTACGATTATCATTTCATTTGTAACATTAAAGCATCAACTTACCATCACTATGTGGTTCATCATATCCACCCTCTCGATCTCCATAACCACCACCACCACCACCTTCATTAGGCACAAAATAAAAACAACAGCATTAATATAGCATAATATTTACAATTAAAAAAATTCCTCTCTGGTATTTAAAAATACAGCCAAGATGCAATACCTATGGTGAAGAATTGGGAGCCAAGCCATGGAGTACACATTGTATTTAGATTTTGGGTAATGCAGTGGCGTATCTAATAGTCTTGAAATTGGTAGAGTGGGGGGGGGGGCCTCGATGATTTAGTGGAGGGGGAATGCGCTAGGTTGCAAAATAAGGTGATATAAGGTGATTTTTTAACTACTTGAGGGGGTGGGGTGAGATTATGGAGGCTGTTTGTGGAGATAATAATTGGTTTATTCTGACCAAGATGAAAGGTAAATTTACCTTGGTCAAATTGTATCGATGTTTGTGCTGGATTTAGGATTTTAACAAACTTGTGACTAAACAACAAATAGTAGCACATTTTGCATGCATATTCAGTCTAAATGTGGATACAATCTGTAAAATCTTCAGCAATGTGCATCTGTGGTAGGAAACGCTCAGAAAGGTTTAACAGATTCAGTCTGTTCAAATTGGAATTTCTGCTTGGGGCAAAAAGCTTGGTTATTCTTCCTGCCAGAGTTATCAGGTGCAATGCATGGATAGTTAAACCAAAGAAATTCATATGTGAACATGGTTAAAAAATGTGCACAGCTATACACATACAAAAGGTTTAATAATAGTTTTACCTCGATCATAGCGATCGTATCCTCTTCTATCTCGGTCGTATCCATAACCTCGATCTCTTCCATAGCTTCTGTCATTTCCATAGCCGCGGTCACCGCCATATTTGTCTCTCCCATATCCCTGATCTCTACCCCCATATTCCTGATCCCTACGTCCATATCCCTGTTCTCTACTTCCATACCCTGAAAATAAATTGTTAAAGTTTGTTTTAGATAAATCGGCAAAGGTTAATTAATGGTGTGCTGTTGTAATATAGTTAGACATACACTTTATATGAAAGTCCAAAATGCTTTAGGAATGGACTAGCCCATACAGCATCTTTCTTCTTCCCTAAGGAACACTCGGTGTCTGCGCTACACGGAAAACTGATGTCAGCTACTTTCGTCTGTCCACAACTTGTTTTAGTGCACATGAGCCAATTGTGTACCTTTTTTATACTTTGTTTTGTGAACTTATTTTTTTGAAGATCGTCAGAGGAGGGCAGACAAAAAAAAAAAAAAATTTCATTTAGCAAATAATTTAAGCCAAAAATACACAGGAGGAGGAGAAAATAAAAATAAAATTTTATTGGTGAATATAAACAATGTAGTGATTGGATGGTTAAATGCTTTAAATTTATATAATTAGGAAGAAAAATACATATTTTATTTTTAGAGATTTAAAGACAGCGGCAAGCGTAATAAAAATAAAGACAAAATTTTATTTTTTTCTGAAATTTTCATTTTTTCATGGTGGCCAAGAATCGAAATCCCCATTATCGGCAGGCGGTGGGTTTGCTAAACAAGGTATAAAAAAAAAGTCTCGTCTGAGAAGACTTAATCTACCACCAGAAACATAGGTGAGTGTGCCACCTAAACCAGTGGCAATATTATGGCCGAAGCATCCCTCGGCCATGCGACTCAACCTAGTTAATTGATAGACATTTCCCAAAAAAGCTCTAGAGAATGTAAAAATGATAGTGAATAAAGCATGTTTAAGTTGATTTCTGGATTTTGCTAGATCTTATTCAATGGCTTGTTACGTTACCGTCGTAACTTCGATCCTGATTGTAGCGATCACCATTGCCATAACCGTCCCTATAACCTCGGTCTCTATAACCGTAACCTGAAAATTGTACCAATAATTAAGAAGAAAAATACATATCTTATTTTTAGAGATTTCAAGGCAGCGACTGGCATATTGAAAATAAAGAAAAACTTTTATTTTTTTTTTAAATTTCCATTTTTTCATGGTGGCCAAAATTCAAAATCATCATTATTGGCGGGCGGCATGTTTGCTAAAAAAGCTTTAAAATAAGTCCAGTCTGAGAAGACTTGATCTATCATCAGAAACATAGGTGAGTGTACCACCTGAACCAGCGGCAATGTTATGGCTGAAGGTTGCAGCATCCCTGCCTTAACCACTCGGCCATTCGACTCGCCTAGTTACCACAGAAATTATTTTTTGTAGAAGAGCATTTTCCAAAAAAACTCTAGAGAATGTAAAAATGATAGTGAATACAGTGAATATGTTTAAATTGATTTCAGGATTTTGTTAGACTTATTCAATGGCATGTTACGTTACCGTCGTAACTTCGATCCTGATTGTAGCGATCACCATTGCCATAACCGTCCCTATAACCTCGGTCTCTATAACCGTAACCTGAAAATTGTACCAAGAAGGTTACATAGGTTGTATATTAACGTTACTTAAGTACTACAATAACAGGAACCCTGAATACACAAGGTGAAAAGGGGTAGGGAGATGCGATTCTGGACCTTTTTTTTAAATTCTAAAAGAACAAAGAGTACTGTGATTAATTAATGGTAACAAAGGTAGACATTCCCTACTATGACTAATTAGTCATACCAGTAGAATACTGATAAAATTATATCAATTGACCATTGTATTGTTGTTTTGTGTTTCATGGTGCTTGTCCAGATATTGGACCTTGATGGCAATTGTAGCAATAAAATAAAAATTGAATTAAATGTGATGAGGAATTTGTTAGTGGATATGTTGTAGATGTGAGGATTTAGACATATTTTGGACACTAGGCTTAACAAGATTTTTGGCCTCCCCTGCTGTCCTTAAATCCTATAAAACACAGGGGTCATTTTTAAAAACTTAATTAAAAAAGAAAAAATACATTTGTTTTGTTTTGAATCCAACATAAAAAAAAAATCAGATATGTGAGGGATGTTAAGTTGATGTTCTTTGTCAAGTTTTTTTTTTGTTAAGTCTACACCTATACATGTAATAACCAACTTGTGTGAATTTGTTCACAATAATCAAAACTGATAGACGTTAGTGTATACACAGCAATAGCATACAAAATTTTAAGAGCAGAAATTACCAAAAAGCACTTACCATCTCCATCGTAGCCACCTCGGTCTCTATTATATCCGCCTCGGTCCCTATCGTAACCACCTCGGTCCCTATCGTATGCACCTCGATCCCTTTCGTAGCCCCCTCGGTCTCTATCGTAGCCCCCTTGATCCCTTTCATAGCCTCGGTCTCTATCGTAACCCCCTCGGTCTCTCTCATAGCCGCCTCGATCCCTACCATATCCTCTATCCCTATATCCATCTCTATAACCAGGACCTAAAAAATATATACATTTTCTTAAATATTTCTTTTATTCCATTGTAAATAAGCATGTGAACTTCTTCTAGTGTCATGGCATCAAATGCCGTGGACGGATCATTGTGGTGCGTTCTGCTTCCATTTTCTCCTGTCGTTTGCGATCTCGCCTAGCTGTTTTCTATCTCTAACTCCCAAACTCTTCATCATCCACCTAACATCTTTAATCTTTGTCTTCCTCTAGCTCTTTTCCCCGTCATCTCAGCCTCAATCAACTTCCTTCCAATCCCTCCTTCTCTTCTCAACTCATGCCCAATGAAATTCCATTGCATTTTCCTGATTGTATTCAACAGTTCTTTTTTCGTTCCCACTTTGTATAAAACATCTTCAATTGACATCTTTTATATCCATGATATTCTCATCTTCCTTCTCCAGAACCACATTTCTACCGCTTCCAGCTTTTTTTCTATGGCCTTACTTAGCGTCCATGATTCACAACCATAGAGTAGTACAGACCAGATGTAACATTTCAACAAACGCTTTCTAACTTCTAATCCCATCTTCCTTGCACCAAATTGATTCTAGCAATTCATCAGGAAGGTCCTCAGCATCATACACTTGATTGGCAATTTCCATGATCTTATTTATCCCAAAATCACCTAAAGCGTCAATCATTTAAATTGCTATCTTATCATTTCCTACTGCTTTCCCTCGTTTCATGGCATTTATAATTTCTTCTTTAGTTATCGATGGCCCAGTCATTTGTTTCCTAATTGCTGGCTTTTCTTTTTTGTCCGTGTCAGAATACAAACTTTTGATGTAATCGGTCCACCTCCTCCTAACTTGATCTGGCTCCATCAACACATTGCCATCATCATCTTTTATGCAACTAGATACGTTTCGTTTCTTCTTGTGTGTTAAATCTTTTACTTTTTCATGCATCATTTGAACATCTCTTTCTCTAGATCTTCTATCTCTCCACATTGTTGTTCCAGATACTCTTCCTTTGCTGTTCTACACATTCTTCGAATCTTTCTGTCCAACCATTTGTACTCCTCTGTGTTTTTCTTCTCTCTGCGTCTCAGTTCCATCTGGTCCAGTATTTGTGATGTCATCCATTTCTTCTTAGCTTCTATACTCTTTTTCGGGATACATTCTTCTGCACTATTTACTAAAGCCTCTTGTAGCTTTTTCCACTTCTCACCATCATTTCCACTATGTATGTATATTCCATTTACTTTGTGACAGAACTCGGAGTTCAAGTTATGATCTTTTTTCAGCAGTTTCCATTGTAACTTAGGTTTTGTCATACCACGCTTCAACTTTTTCAGGCTTATTCTTAAATGGCCCATCAACAAAATATGATCGCTGTTACAGTCAGCACCTGGATATGTCCTCACTCTTTTCATAGCATGTGAAGTAGCACATATTTTATAAATTTTAAATTCAGTAAAGTCATCAATTTTTACAAGAGTACAAACATACGGTAGGTGAAGGAGTCTATGTACTCCTTTTATGAAATTGAAAAAAAAAGATATAAAAAATGACAACAATCACCATTATTCTAAGTATTTTTTTGGGGTGGGGATGGAGGGGGGGGGTGTCACAGAAAAGATGTTTTTGATAATCTTGAAATAGATGAATAAAAAATGATGACATTAAATATAACAAAGAATTACTCAATACCAACCATCGTCATAACTATCAGTGCTCACTATTGGCC